CCACTGCCTCTACGTTAATCTGGAGTGCAACGAGAAGGAGAACGAGAAAGCACTAGGCTTTTCGTTTTAGATGCGTTCACATGCATGCCGGTCACCTCGATTCGGCTGCGAACCTTCATAAGAAGCACAGTAGATCGGTTTCAAAAGATGCTAATAAAACAAGGTCGTTTGCAAACAGCAACCTTCTCGACATCACATCTCCAACATCGATACACTCATCGCCTTGGCAGCTCCTGAACATTCTATCGATGTACAACACAAACGGGATAGGGTGCAGGACATAGCCTTGGCGGAGACCAGTGCGAACGTTGAATAGTGTCGACTAAATGCTATTTACTCTGATGCAGCAACTGCTATCAGAGTACAGTGACTGGATAGCCCTTAGCAGCTGGCCATCTATTCCGCATGCTCGAAGGCATGACCACAAACTGCTGCGTAGGATCCGGTTATAGCGTTTAACTAGGTCAAGGAAACACCCGACGGGCGTACTCCCTAGATTTCTCAACAATCTGGCGCAGGGCAAACGAATGGTCAAAAGTCCTCCGACCGGGCCGGAAGCCACACTGCTCTTCTTGTATATTGAGGTCAGTTATTTCGCAGACCTCCTTTCGTAGACTTTACCTGGGAGGCTCAATAACGTCGTGCCCCTATAACTGGAGCATTCCTTGTGGTCTCCCATCTTGAATACGGGTACAATAACTCCCGTTCTCCAGTCCGCTGGTGTCTTTACCGCAGTCATTGCAGTTTGACACACACATGTAACAGCATATGTATTGTTCGCCTAATGTCTTGAGCATCTCAGGGAGGATTTCGTCAATTCAGCCTTTCCATTTTTCGAGCTTTTCAAAGCTTGTGTAATTTCATCTACTGAGACAGTAATATCCGTTCCCTGCTACTCTACAGGTGAGTCATCCTGCGGATGAGCAGAGTTAAGGAGTACCCCAAAGTACTCCACTGCCGAAGAATTTCATCATCATTGGTAAAAGGGTGTCCAGACCTATCCTTCTAGACTCTGAGACTACCCCTCTTTTCAACTCGGAGAGAGAGGATGGTCTGCCAGAAAACTTTGTTTGCCGTGTGCAAATCAACTCCAACACCTAACCGAACTTCTCCCAGGAATCAGTTTTGGCTCTCGCCACTGCTTTCGCTGCCGCCTTGAGCCTCGATATATCGCACGTTAGTAGAATTCTCTTTGTCTCCTAGCTATTTCTTGAACGCTGCTTTCTTCTCTTTAACTGCGACTTGCACCTCTCGTGTCCACCAGGAAAATCTTTTCTGACCTCAAGGCGGCAGGCCAGCCCGTTTAAATCCGCAGCATTCGGCGTCAGCCTCGAGTATGCCGCTCTTAAAGACCTGCGACTCGGTTTCAACGTCAGTGGTCATCACCGGGATCTATTTAAATAGTCGTACAATGTTGTTTGGAAATTTCGCCCTCATGTCCTCAGAAGATAACGTTTCCCATTTGATTCTCCGGTTGTTTCTGCCACAAGATCTTCGTATTGTACTCCAT